CTATAAAATTCCTGAGTTAAGATAATACAGTACTATAAACCTGAAGTAAGGTAACTGCCAGTTTGGGTAAGTATAATATAATATGATGCTTTTCAGTTATGCCACATTTCAACATAGTAACTAACCATTCCCTTTATGTATGTATGTGCCTTTGAAGGTTTATTCTTGGTTGTGTGTCAGCTTCTTGGAAGGATAGCTCTGGGTACTGCATAATAATGATAATAATAATAATAATAGCAGCCACATACTGAGTACTTGCCATGTTTCAGGTAATACACTGGACACTTAATACCCGTGCTTTTATTTAACCTTGACAGTGACTCTTAGCATGATACCACAGTCACATTTTCACATGCAGAAACGTGAATTTAAAGAATATATACAAGGTCACACACTAACAAATGATATAGCCAATATTTGAACCATCCATCTAGTTCTAAAACCTGTGAGCTTTCTACAGTATCCTACTGCATCTAGTATGTGATTACTGAGAATTTCCTCTAAGAGATGCATTTGACTAAAAGTATTATTTAGTAAATATACCAATTTCAAACCTGATAGCTTTATATGGAATAATTGAAGATAAAATAACTTTGTGAGGTAATTTCAATAGGAAGAAACAGCAGAGTCTGCTATTGATAGGACTGGACCTTGTTAGTGCTTTAATTTTTGTTTTAAGGTGAATGAAGCTTTTGCTCCCCAGTACTTGGCTGTTGAGAAGAGTTTGGATCTTGATCCAAGTAAAACCAATGTGAATGGAGGAGCCATTGCTTCGGGTCACCCACTGGGAGGATCTGGATCAAGAATTACTGCACACCTGGTTCATGAATTAAGGTACTTGCTAGAAATAGCTGCATTTCAGATTTGCTGTTCTTTATAGAAACGCATGGATTTAGGATTCCCCAGAACAATCCAGCATTTTTCATTCTCCTTTGTGTTTCCTGCACTGGTTCCTACCAGGAACAAGCTACTTGGGCAGTGCTTTCCATCTGGCCTTATAGATGAGTCACAGTTATTGTGTTAGTGGCTCTGCACTTAGGAACCAAGGTCTTCATCTGTGTGTCCAGTCTCTGTGCACTGTGTGGCCACTCAGTATGTGTTCATTGCGTGAGCAGATGATGAGGCCTTAGTTCTTAAAGCACTTGTATTTTAGGGCCAGTTACAGGAGTAAAATAAATTAATTTTGGAAAAAATAAAAGTACTGAGTACTGATCTAGATGTCATCATTTATGAAACTTGGTCTGAGCTAAGTTTTTATTTTCACGGGTTCCAGAAGGAGCTTTCTGTGCGTGTTTGGTACTTTTTAGTTTTGATGGAAGAGCTCCTCCTTCTGGTACTACGTATTTTTGGAACATTTTGCTCTGCAGAAAAATTGCAAACAAAACCAGGTAAATCAGGCTGAAAAATAATTCCGACTCCCTGATAGGCCAGGGGAAATGCGACTCTTATTTCACTTAATGATTCATTGAGTTGAAATGAGTGATTGACACATACAAAAATAATTCCTGGATAATTTTCTCAGTCATCATCTTAGGAGTGAGGAGTACTTTAAAAGAGTAATTTTTATGACAGGGACATGAATAGTTTCTAAATTATCTGCCCTTTCATAGGGATAAACTTTATTAATTACATATCTTCTAAGGTGCCGTGAGGCTGTCACACCATATAAATCAAAGGAGCTGAATGTTCATCTTCTTTCCCAGCTTCTTCTGTTTATCAATTTACCTCCTCTTCTCACTCCTTTCCCATAACATATGCAAGCTTGTATATGTGTTGCAGGTCCTCTAAACCTAAATCCATTCATCTCCTTTTTAGAGTGCCTCTCTCTTCTGTTTTCTATTTTTGAATGATAAACTTTCAGCTTTCCATGTTGTAATTATAAACCAATATTGAGGACTGGGGAAAAGATTGAGCAGATGAGGTGAATAGTGAAAGAAAGAATGAATAGTGAAAATGTGATTGTTATTAGTTCTATTTAGTTAATTTTTTATTAGAATAGATTTTAGTCACTGCTTTCTTTCTCAGGCGTCGAGGTGGAAAGTATGCCATTGGATCAGCTTGCATTGGAGGTGGCCAAGGTATCGCTGTCATCATTCAGAACACAGCCTAAAGAGACCAGTGAGCTCACTCTGACCCACTGTCACTCTACTTGGCCAGGCCACAGAAAAACAGGTGACCTTCAGAGCAGCTGCCACAACTGGCCATGCCCTGCCATTGAAACAGTGATCAAGTTTCACGCCATGGTGACACAAAAATGCATTTATCTTGAATAAGAGCCCACGCTAGAAGTACGTTCTCTCAGATTTGTACTAGTGAAATATGTATTTCTGAACTAAAATTCAACTATAGAAGACATTAAAAGAAAGTGTATTCTTGCCAAGTAACCACTACTTCTGCCTTAGATAATATGCTTATAAGGAAATTAAATAAATGTTGCCTTAACTTCAGTTAATGTTTTCCTATATTTTTAAAATTTTTAAATTGTGATAAAATAAATACATATTACATAAACTTTACTGTCTTAACCCTTTTTTAGCATACAGTTCACTGGCATTAAGTATATTCACATTGTTGTACAAACATCACCACTATTTACCTACAGAACGTTTTTGATCATCACACACGGAAACTCTGTACCCAGTAAACAATAACTAACTCCTGATTCTCCCATCCCCTGACAACCACCAATGTATTTTGTCTCTATGAATTTGATGACTCAAGGTACCTCATAACTGGAATTATAAATATTTGTCCTTTCATGACTGGCTTATTTTACTTCACATAATGTTCTCAAGATTCATCCACCTTATGTTGTAGCCTGTGTCAGAACTTCTTCTTTTTAAAAAGCTGAATAATATTCCATTGTGTGTATAAACCTTACTTCCATTCTTCCCAGCTTAAAGGCCATCTTTCGTCCTTTGTTTTCTCCCTTCAAAATGCCCCACAACAGTTCCATTGCTTTGTCTGTTCTAAGACTGGATAGCTAGTAGGGAAAGGCCCTGTTCTTGTTAACTTCATGAAAGAGCCATTAGAAATTTTAATTGAGATTAAATTGAATTTATGGGTTATAAATGTATTAGGGAAATATCTTTTTTTTTTTTTTTTTGGAGACAGCAGCTTGCTCTGTCACCCAGGCTCGATTGCAATGGCACAGTCATGGCTCACTGAATAATAGATAATGTTAAATAATAGCATCATGGTTCCTCAACCCTTTGCTCATATGGCTTCCTTCATTTGATTAAAAAGTTGGAGTGGCACATACATCCTCCTTTCTGTCATAGAGAGGCAAGCAGCCCACTCATGTTTTGAGATAATGGACTAGAGGCAACAGCAAGTCCAGCTTTTCTTGTTTGATCCTTATTGAGAAATAGGTTTCCTCTAGTGTCATGAAAATATTAAAAAGAGCACTGTATAATTTCTCAAAACAATGTTTTGCAGAACATTTTGTTTTTTACATTTTCTTTTGTTGTAACTTGTAATAAACTATCTCTGTAGGATGAAATGACTAGGGCCACATGTTACCATCTTCTAGAAACACTAGTGATAGTTTATCAAGCCTATGAATTTCCAGATGAAGGAGGAATTGTCACCAATTAAATAGCTGAAGCAAGCCCCTTCATAGGGCATCTCCTGGCACAGGCCTTGGTAAAGGTTTATTGCTTTTCCCCATAAAGGTCTTACGTAGTTTTGCTATTCCACTGAGACCTTTCTCCTATTTTCTTTACATTTGGTTATTGCTAATGAATAGCTTTTGGATATTATATATCTAGCCATGCTAATCTACAGCCTATGGAACCTCTTCAGCAGGGGCTCCCTTCCCCCTCAGTGATTCCTCAAGATTGGCTTATAATTGTTATTGACTTAAAAGACTGCTTTTATATGATTCCACTTGCAGAACAGGAGAAAAATTTGCATTTACAATACCAGCTATTAATAATGAAAGGCCAGCTTGTTCATTTCATTGGAAAGTGTTTTCATTGGAAAGTGTTTCCTCAAGTCATAATGCTAAATAGTTCTACCATGTGTCAGTTTCATGTAACTCAGGCTTTGCTCCCCAGTAGAAAAGAATTTCCTGATTGCAAAATCATTCATATTATGGACGATATACTACTGGCAGCCCAGTGGGGCCAGCACTTTTAAATTTATATTCTTGTCATCAAGAATACACAGCTAAGAGGTTTAATCATTGCACCTGAAAAAGTACAAATGTCCTTTCCTTGGAAACATCTTGGATATGTACTAACTTCCCAGTCAAAAGGTTAAATACTACAATTTACACACCTTAAATGATTATTCAGAAATTGCTGGGTGATATAAACTGGCCCCACCCCACTTTAGGTATATCTACAGATAAACTACAAGACCTGTTTTTTATCTTAAAGGGCAGTAAAGCCCTAGATTTTCCCAGATATTTAACCCCTGCAGCAAAAAGGGAAATGAAGGAAATAGAACAATCTATCTCTCAAAGGCAACTAGATCGCATTGATCCAGGCTACTCAATTGTTTTGAACACTCCCCTAAAAGGGTTAATAGGACAGATGGCCTCTGGGCTACGCTTTCTAAGTAGGATTTTGCTTACATACCCAGACTAAAACTAAAACACCGTCTGTCTATATTCAATTACTTGGTAAAGTCATCTTTTCAGGCCACAAAGGATGCAGTCACTTGGTAGGTTATGATCCTGATATCATCAGGATTCCTTTAAGTAAAAGGTAGTTTAAAGCAGTATTGCCAGTATCTAACGATCTGCAAATAGCTCACTCTGATTACACTGGACAAATTATGTCCTTCCTGCTAATAAGCCCCTTCAGTTCTTATCTTGCACTTCTGTGATCTTACTTACAAAAATAGTTCACTCCCCCATGCCTAATGCTTTAACACTGTTTACTTTATGTGTAAACAGCGTTAAAACATAAAGTGTTAAAGTAAATAGTGTTACTTTAACACTGTTTATGTGTAAAGAGTGTTAAAGCATTAGGCATGGGGGAGTGAACTATTTTTACACAAAGAAAGCAGTGTTAAAGCATTAGGCAAACAGAGAAGTGGCTGTCTGGTAGCAACCACATAATTTTCTCACTTGATCAGTACTGGCACTCAGAGAGCTGAGGTTGGAGCACTTACACTAGCCCTGGAAACTTTCCACCTAGCCCATCAATAGAGTCAGTGACTCTGCTTACTCTATTTTTTTTTTTAACTCTGTATTTTTATTATAGAACCCTGAGACAGCTCTGATAAAGAACTCAGTTGAGCCCACCCTAGTTGCACTATTTCTTTAGCTTCAGTAATGCTGGATCAATGCAAACATCCTATGTTTATCTCATACATATTCAAGTTCACAGCTCCCTGCCTGGCCCATTAGCTTATGGCAATGAACAAGCAGATCTTTAAGTTATGACATCACTGCTTGCCCAAGCCACCCAGTTGCATCAATTTTTCCACCAAAATTGGAGGAACTTAGCTACACAATTTCAACTTACCCAAAAGCTAGCTAAAAAAATTATCCTGCAATGCCCACATTGCCAGCTCATGGGCACTTCCCCTCCAACAGGTGTTAACCCTAGAGGGTATCAGTTACGGCAAACAGATGTTACACAAGTCCCTGCATTTGGTAAACTAAGATACGTATGTGTCTCTGTTGATAACAATTCTTACCTAATTAGTGCACACACTTTTCCTTAAGAATCCACTCGATATGTTGTTAAACATATTCTTTTAACTTTTGCATGTATAGGGTGGCCCACAAAAATTAAAGCTGATAATGATCTAGCTTATGCCAGCTCACAATTTCAACAATTTTGTCATACATGGAACATCTAACATTCCACAGGCATCTCATATAACCCCAAAGGACAGGCCATAGTAGAACGTGCCGACTCCATCCTTAAAAATATGCTCAAAAACAAAAGGGGGTTTATGGGTAAGGACCCTGCAATACTACCAGTACAAGCCTTATTTACCCTTAGTTTCTTAAATTTAGACGATGGATCAATCAGCTATGGAAAAGCACTTCGCTAAAACCTCCCAAAACCTAAAACCTGCAGTTTTATGGAAAGGTGTAAAAGTAATGAATGATGTGGTCCAAATGAACTGCTAACATGGGGGAGAGGATATGCCTGTGTTCACACCCCCTCAGGTTCTCACTGGATTCCAGCACGATACATCAAACCATACCATGGTGTGGTCAGGACCCAACCCGATACCAGAGATTCAGATGACGACTCTGCAGGACCCACAACCCTAGAAGATGGCGGCTTCCTCCAACCACACATGCCCCAGACATTACCTGGGGGATACTGAAAAGGACAATACGGGAGGCTGAGTGAATCCTGCTCCAGACAGATACCATTCACTCCAGATAATTTGTTCCTTGCTATGCTCTGTTGTACATTGCAACTCACATAGGGTATTGATCCTTTTTATGCTCTCGCTTTGTCTGCAATCTGTACCTGCTATACTCAGTTGGGCTCCTATCTTAGATCTGCCTTTCTTTCAACCTGTCACCTGGGCAGACACCCCCTTCCCGACCTTTAATAATGTAACTGCTTGGCTAGCAGGGATAGATTTACTGGTGCGAGGTAACACTACATATCACTCTATTATCCTCCCGCTGTGTGTAAGTTATGAAAGTTTTAACCCTTACTGTGTACTTGCTCAAACACTATTATGGCTACATCATGGCAAAGGAAATGCCTTACCAGTCGTAGCCGCAGGTAGCCTCAAATTGAGTAATGTAGTCAATGCCATTTTCCCAGACATTCCTTCCTGTGCTAAAGGACAAAGCCAGGAAAGTAATGAATTTCACTTTAGCTGGGAGGTCTGTCATGGGGAAAAAGCCCGTAGCCTCCAATTGGGCAATTATAACATCTTAGACTTAGACTGGAGCCCCCACAGTCATTTATAGAGTGACCTGACTGGTGTCTTCATCCGTCATGGCGTCAATCACAATTTTGTAGCCACAGCCCGTTCCCCTATGATGTGGGCCAATGGGGGATGGGATATCCCAGACCCCAAGTAAAGTCCATGCCACCCCAGGACACCTTATGGGGCATCTTTGTACCTCCCTTAACACCTGGCATGGGACATAATTCCAGTAAGAATTATGCTATAATCTTTATTCATAATCACACTGATAGTGCCTGATTTGCACTACCCATCCATATGTTTTCCATATGGGAACTAATATTTCCATTACACCCCAAAACTCCACGTTTGTGACCCAGGTGCATGGACAGGCTTGGTTCACCTCATGTATCACCAATTAATATATTTAAATATTACTAGTATCGTGGTATTAAGGAGACAATCTGAGGCATTCCTACCAGTCAATTTAACATGTAATTGGCAAGGTTCCTCTGCCCTTACCACATTGGAACGTGCAAAGATTCATAGGCACACCTATAGCATTTATAGTCTCAGCCACAGTCATCCTGGCAACTGCTAGCATTGCTACAGCATCTATTACTGAGTTGGCAAGAAATGTGTCTAATGAACTTCTTCTGCAGCAAGGCATAGATCAGTAGATTCTTGCACATCTGCAACCCCTCGAGGCTGCCTTGGAATATGTAGGAGAGTGACAAGATGCACTGGCATTCCAACATCAATTAAGCTGCCACTGGGAACATAAACATATCTGTCACTTCCCTTCCATGGAATCAATCACTATTTAGTTGGGATGAGGTGAAACACCTCTGGGAACCTTTCCTGACAATTTGACAGCAGACATGAAGCAACTTAAAACAAAAATTTTAGAATCACTACACACCAGAGATCTACACACCCAATGAACAGCCATATGGAAGGGTGTGCAAGAACATCTCTCTCCTAGATAGACCCCTGCTCCTGAAGGTCACTCCTTGATTAGAAAAGAATGTTGCTAATTATACTCATGTTTGTCTCCTGTTATTTTCTGATTCTAGAATGCAAAGCTGGAATAAGAGCAATGTCCTTGACTGACAGACCTGTTGCTGCACACGTGGGCACTCTTCAGTTATTAAAGCCAGATGCAAAAAAAAAAAAAATCGACAAGGGGAAGATGTGGGAGTTCAGGCAGGGTGGTAGCAAAAATTTTAAAGGAAAAATATTAGAGATAGTTATAGGAAATAGTCACAAAACCCTCTTGGAAGGCCTGGCTGTTTACGTAGCTTCAAATGAGAGAATGGGCAGGAGGCGGCCAGTTCTTACCCTAGGGCATTAGGGCATAGAGGCAATACCAGGAATTGTCAAGAGGCTTCTCCATTAGGTTTGCTAATGGAGGTGGGGGTCTATTTACCTGGACCCTCACCTCCATTAGAAAACCTTTGATCATCCTGGTATGTGCATAACTGCCTTCTACTCAGGGGCTTGGCAGAAGTTAATGACCCTATAATGGTGTTTATCCAAAGACCCTTGTCCTTTGATCTACACAAAATAAAAGCCCACAGGGCCAGTGGTGGTTACCCCAGCCCACTCTTTCACTGAAAATCTGTGTCTGAGTGAATTTATTCATCTGTCCTTGGGTCAGGGTCTGCCTGTCAGACCCTGGCAGTGGTGCCCTGTGTGAGGAGATTCATCAACGGCCTTTCTTGGACAGCTTGCACACCATGCTCTTCCATGCCATAGGGCTTCAGTAGATGTTCTTTCCTCTGTCTTCCCAGGCCTGGTCCTGCTCACCAAGTCTCGGATGCTTCCTCTTTAGTCAGGTTCTCTGTTTGCCCCAAGTTCCTCTATCCGAGACTCTCATTGTAGCACCCTGACTGTTATGGACCTTCCTGAATTCATATTCACTTAGTAGTCCATTTACTGTCTCACTCCGTCATTAGACTTAACTCCCTAAAGGCAAAGACTTCATGTGCTTAGCATAGCACCTGGCACATGGTAGATGCACAATAATGATGAAGGAATGAGTGACTGGATGAATGGGTAGATGGATAGGTGGACAGATGATGTTTGAAGAAATTGTAACATAAAAAGTTGCTTAATCTTTGAAGAATTAAGAGAGTGGATAGGGGCCAGGCGCAGTGGCTCACGCCTGTAATCCCAGCACTTTGGGAGGCTGAGGTGAGCAGATCACCTGAGGTCAGGAGTTCGAGACCAGCCTGATCAACATGGTGAAACCCTATCTCTACTAAAAATACAAAATTAGCTGGGCGTGGTGGCACATGCCTGTAATCCCAGCTACTCAGGAGGCCGAGGCAGGAGAATCACCTGAAGCCAGGAGGCAGAGGCTACAGTGAGCCAAGGTCACACCATTGTACTCCAGCCTGGGCAATAAGGGCAAAACTCCATCTCAAAACACAAAACAAAAACAAAAGATGGTGGTTAGAAGGTAGAACTGGATTACAGCTCCCACACAGATGGACAGAGTAACGTATGGAAACTAATATCATGAACTTCTGCTCCAAGAACTGTGGCAGGAACATACAAGGAAAGTAGAGACAATCCACACACAGACTCCCTTGTGAAGGAACTGGATCACTGCTGCAGGCTCCTTGAGACACCAAAAAACATGAGTCTGCTTGCTTTCTAAATGGGAAGACTTATGGTCTAGGGCAAGTTCTCAGCCCTGGTCATCCGCTGCCTGGAAATAGACTCGGTGCTACTGGCGGGACATGGTGGGCATGAGACCAGCCTTTGGGACTACAGGCTGTGTGGGAGCAGGGTGAGCCCTGTGACTGCCAGCTCTCTACCACCTCCCCTGAGGACCTGTATGACTCAGCAGAGGCAGCCATAATCCCCCTGGGAACATAACTCCATTGGCTGGGGAGCCACATTGCCATCCCCCACAGTAGCTGCAGCAAGCCTCGCCCAAGGAGAGTCTGAGTTCAGACATGCCCAACCCTGCCCCCACCTGGGGGTCTGTCTCTACTTGCTCTGGTAACTGAAGACAAAGGTCATAATCTCTTGGGAGCTCTCTGGCCCTGACAACTGGCTGAGAAACCTGAATACTTAGCCAGGTGTCCCTAGGGCAAGTTTGCATCCTCACTATATAATATTGTAGCTGATGTGATCTTGAAAGCGCTACCTCCTGGCTAGAGGCCAACGAACACAAACCAGCACTCTAAACAAAAATACAACCAAAGACCCTCAGAGAGTCCACTTCACTTCCCTGCAACCTCCAACTGGAGCAGGTGCCGTTATCCACGTCTGAAAGACCTGAAGACAGATCACATCACAGGACTCTTTGCAGACATTCCCCAGTACCATTCCCAGAGCCCGGTAGCTCTGCTGGGTGGCTAGACCCAGAAGAACACAAACAATCACTGCAGTTCAGCTCAGGAAGCCCCACTCCTAGGGGAAGAGGGAGAACACCACATCAAGGGAGCACCCTGTGGGACAAAAGAATCTGAACAGCAGCCCTTGAGTCCTAGATCCTTCCCTCTGACATTGTCTACCCAAATGAGAAAGAACCAGAAAACAATCCTGGTATTATGATGAAACAAAGTTCTTTAACACCCCCAAAAGATCACAACAGCTCATCAGTAGTGGATCCAAACCAAGATAAAATCTCTGAATTACCAGAAAGAGAATTCAGAAGGTTGATTATTAAGCTAATCAAGGAGACACCAGAGAAAGGTGAAGTCCAGCATAAAGAAATCAAAAACATGATACAGGATAAGAAGGGAAAAGTCTTTAGTGAAATACATAGTGTAAATAAAAAACAATAACAACTTCTGGAAATCAAGGACATATTTAAAGAAATGCAAAATGCACTGGAAAGTCTCAGCAATAGAATTAAACAAGCAGAAGAAAGAACTTCAGAGATTGAAGACAAGGCTTTCAAATTAACCCAATCCATCAAAGACAAATAATCTTAAAAATGAACAAAGCCTCCAAGAAGTTTGGGACTATGTTAAATGTCCAAACCTAAGAATAATTGGTGTTCCTGAGGAAGAAGAGAAATCTAAAAGTTCAGAAAACATATTTGAGGGGATAATCAAGGACAACTTCCCCAGTCGTGCTAGAGATCAAAATATCCAAATACAAGAATCTCAAATAACACCTGGGAAATTCATCAAAAAAAAGCACATAGTCATCAGGGTATCTAAAGTCTAAACAAAGGAAAGAATCTTAAAAGCTGTGAGGCAAAAGCATCAGGTAATCTATAAAGGAAAACAGCAGACTGCTCAACAGAAACCCTACAAGCTAGAAGGGATTGGGGTCCTATTTTTACCCTCCTTAAACAAAACAATTGTCAGCCAAGAATTTTGTGTCCATCAAAACTAAGCTTCTTAAATGAAAGAAAGATTCAGTCTTTTCCAGACAAATGCTAAGAATTTGCCACTACCAAGCCAGCACTATAGGAAGTGCTAAAAGGAGCTCTAAACCTTGAAACAAATCCTCAAAATGCACCAAAATAGAACCTCTTAAAGCATAAATCTCACAGGATGTAAATAACAGTAATACAACGAACACAAAGGGGAAAAAAAAAGGTATTCAGGAAATAAATAGCATAATGAATAGAATAGTGCCTCACATCTCAATACTAATGTTGACTGTAAATGGCTTAAATGCTCCATTTAAAAGATACAGAATGGCAGAATGGATAAGAATTCAACCAAGTTTCTGCTGTCTTCAGGAGACTCACATAAAGTAAAGGGGAGGAAAAAGATATTCCATGCAAATGGACACCAAAATTAAGCAGGAGTAGCTATTCTTATATCAAACAAAACAAACTTTAGAGCAACAGAAGTTTAAAAAGACAAAGAGGGACTGAGCGAAGTGGCTCATGCCTGTAATCCCAGCACTCTGGGAGGCTGAGGCAGGTGGATTACCCGAGGTCAAGAGATCAAGACCGTCCTAGCCAAAATGGTGAAACCCCCTCTCTAATAAAAATACAAAAATTAGCTGGGTGTGGTGGTACATGCCTGTAGTCCCAGCTACTCAGGAGGCTGAGGCAAGAGAATCACTTGAACCTAGGAGGTGAAGGTTGCAGTGAGCGGAGATCATACCACTACACTCCAGCCTGGTGACAGCGAGACTCCATCTACCCCCCACCTGCCACAAAANAAAAAAAAAAAAAAAGACAAAGAGGGACATTATATAATGATAAAAGGAGTAGTCTAACAGGAAAATATCATAATCCTAAATATATATGCACCTAACATTGGAGCTCCCAAATTCATAAAACAACTACTACTAGACCTAAGAAATGAGATAGATGGCAACACAGTAAGAGTGGGAGACTTCAATATTCCACTGACAACACTAGACAGGTCATCAAGACATAAAGTCAACAAAGAAACAATGGACTTAAACTATACCCTAGAACAAATGGACTTAAAAGACATTTCCAGAACACTGTACACAACAACTGCAGAATATACATTCTGTTCATTGGCACATGGAACATTCTTCAAGGTAGACCATATGATAAGCCACAAAACAAGTCTAAGAAAATTGAAATTATATCAGGTACTCTCTCAGACCACAGTAGAATAAAATGAGAAATCAATTCCAAAAGGAACCCTGAAAACCATGCAAATACATGGGAATGAAATAACCGGCTCCTGATTGATTGTTGGGTCAACAATTAAAGATGGAAATTTAAAAATTCTTTGAACAATAATAATGACAGCCTATCAAAACCTCTGGGATACAGCAAAAGAGGTGCTAAGAGAAAAGTTCATAGCATTAAATGCCTATATTAAAAAGTCTGAAAAAACACAGACAATCTAAGGTCACACCTCATGGAACTGGAGAAATGAGAACAATCTGAACCCAGACCCAGCAAAAGAAAAGAAATAATGATGATCAGAGCAGAAGGAAATGAAATTGAAACAAAACAAAAAAAATACAAAACATAAATTAAACAAAAAGCTGGTTTTTTGAAAAGAAAACAAAATTGATAGACCATTGGCAAGATTAACCAAGAAAAGAAGAGAAGATTAAAATAAACTCAATGAGAAATGAAATGGGAGATATCACAACTGATATCACAGAAATACAAAAGATTATTCAGGGCTACTATGAACACCTTTACATACATTAACTAGAAAATCTAGAAGAGATGGATAAATTCCTGGAAACATATGACCCTCCTAGATTAAACCAGGAAGATATAGAAACTCTGAACAGACCAATAAGCAGTGAGATTGAAATGGTAATTTTTAAAATTGCCAACAACAACAAAAAAGTCCAGGACCAGAAAGATTCACAGCTGAATTCTATCAGACATTCAAAGAAGAACTGGTGCCAGTCCTATTGACACTATTGCAAAGGACAGAGAAAGTGGGAATCCTCCCTAAATCATTCTATGAAGCCAGTATCACCCTAATACCCAAACCAGAGAAGGACTTAAAAAAGAAAACTACAGACTAATATCCCTGATGAACACAGATACAAAAATTCTCAACAAAATACTAGTAAATCAAATCCAACAGCATATCAAAAAGATAATCCACCATGATCAAGTGGATTTTATACCAGGGATGCAAGGATGATTTAACATACGTAAGTCAATAAATGCGATACACCACATAAAC